CCACCCCAACGACCAGGCCCCGCCCCTTCCCCGCCCCCGTCACCCGGGCCACGCCCCCTCCGCCGGGCTGCGGGCCCGGGGGCTTCCCCTGCAGGAAGGCAGAGGACGGAATTTATTTTTATTTAGTTCATGTTTTTTTAATCATTGGCCTTGCAGCAAACCCAGAGTGCGCATTGGCCTTAGCACCGCAGGAAGCTTTGGTTCCCTCTGGGCAGCAGCATCTCCTCCCGACTGCACGGGACAGGGGGTCTCGCCCCCGAGCACGGAGCCACCGATGCACAGGGGAACTCGTAATATTTTATATTTATCCAGGACTGTCTTCACCAGGGGCTCCCAGTCTGCAAACACACACCCCCACTCCACCCCAGCCCAACCCTTGGCCATCACATCCCAGCCATGATTTAAAACCCTGAACGCAGCTTCCCCCAACACTTTCGGAGCATAAATTACACTTACGGCCACGACCAAAGCACGAGAGCCGTGACAGTGACTCACATCACTGCAGGGAGGAATGAGGGGCTGCTGGGACACCTCCTCCATCCCCCGTGATGAAAGGGACAGGAGAGAATGAATCAAATGCATATTTATAGTGCTGGATAGGAATTAGGAGTGTTTGGCAGGGTGACCCTCATCTGGACCCAGCGATTAACTAAATGGGCTTAGCAGGACAGTCCATCGAGTGCTGTATTTGCTTCAGTAAAAGAAAGATAAAAGGAAAGATGGGGAGAAGAGCTCTGATCACAAATTAGAATTTAGATATAAGGAAGAAATTCTTCACCATGAGGGTGGTGAGGCACTGGAACAGGTTGCCCAGAGAAGCTATGGATGCCCCATCCCTGGAAATGTTCAGGGCCAGGCTGGATGGGGCTTTGAGCAACCTGGTCTGGTGGAAGGTGTCTCTGCCCATGGCAGGGGATTGGCACCAGGTGATCTTTAAGGTCCCTTCCAACCCAAACCATTCTATGATTAAATCTGTGTTTTGAAGCAAGCCTGGGACCTGGCGGTTCGTGTGATCAGGGAGCAGGGGCAGCCACTGGGTGCAAAGGGGCGAGCAGGCGTCTGCCACAGCACCGGCTGCTCCCCTCGGGCACGGGACCATGCTGGCAGAAGGGAAACCCAGCAAATCTGGTCCTAAGTCATCTGCCACAAACGGGGCAGGTTCGGCTGAGGGGATGCGGCTCAGGCGCTGCACTGGTTATCGGTGAGCGCAGAAAGGAAAGGACGGAAAATGCAGGTCCAATTCAAAATATGCCACGGCACCTTGAGAGGTGGTGAGGTTCAGCTGGGCCAGATCCAAGCTGTTGTACAAGAGAAATGGCCCAAAAAATGGAAGTCATCTCATCTGGCTCCGAATCCGAGGAGCCTCCTGCCCTCCTCTCACCTCTGACCTCTGCAAAAGCCACCAAATTTAATTAAACTCTCCCACCGACTCCTGCAGCACTCGGATGATGCCTCCATCCCATTCCCATCTAGAAACTCAGCATCCTCATTAGCTGCTGCCATTTTTTCAAGGATGGTCATGTGCTGCTAATTAAAGCACTTGAGCTGAACCCACAAGTTACCCCCACAGCGGGATGCAACGCATCGAGCAGGGTTTGCAGCAAAGTGGCCAAAACGGGCTGCTCAGCTCTCCCCTGAAGTCACAGCGGGCACCAGGGGGTTACTTTCCTCCTGGGTGACTGCAATTTTCAGATTCACTGCTTCTGTCTGCAAGATAACGATAATAACAATGCCCTTTTCTGCCCCCAGAAATGTCCTGGCTATGAGTACACTAAGTTTTCAGACAAAAATGCCTCCCAAAGTACAGCTGCGGGTTGACCAAAACCATTTGATGAGGTTTTGGTGATTTCAGTTTGATGGTTAACAAATGAGGCAGTAACAGTTTGTATTTAAAACAACCTTTTGTTTGGTTGCATTGCTTTTTAGTTTAAGATTGCTCAAAAGCTAATTGAAACCTCATGGTATGTGTCACATGAAACACATGTGAATCTAAAAGCTGTTTGATTAACTTTTCAATTCACTTAAAATTTTGAAAAAAATCATTTCTCACTTGTTGAAAAAAAAAAAGTGTTTCTAATGCTCAAACCCACATTTGCATGAATAAGAGAGTTGCTTGTACAGCTTTAATTCTATTGGCAATGGATTTATAATTAATTAGCATCACAAGTACTTCTGAACTTGGCTTTTATTCCCCCCAGATTCACTGTACATGAGCTTGTCACTCGCTATTACAGAGAAAGCAGCTATTGCTGAAACTGATACCAGCACCCCGTTATTTGCCCAGCGCCTACTTCTTAATAGCATAAACTTGACTACCCCTAAATTTCACGTATCTCGCATTTAATGAAGACTGGAGGAAGAACATCTTTAGAAGACTAAGGCTAGTCCTGCTCTCTACCAGGGGAAAATAAGTTGCTAAAATCTTTCTGGCACAAAACCACTTCCCCTTGCGCTGCCCTGCCCAGGCTGGCAGACAACTCGAAGCACGCGAGTCCTGCCCCCTCTGCCTCCCCCCTCGCCCTGCCGAGACTCCAGTCTCTCTGGCTATACATAAAGATATTTAAGCAACATGAAAAGTTTAGTATTTTAGAAATATCATCTCCATATCTGGAGTCTGTCGGGATCTGAAGCGTCCCCATGCCCGAGGGGAAAGGAGGAGTGCTGGGGCCAGAGGGGCGGCTCAGGGCTCCCGTGCCGGCTCGTGCCGGCTCTTGCCGGAATGGGAGGACTGTCCTGGAGAGCTTGAAAGAAACAAAACCATTTGCTTTTTCTTTGACTGTTTCCACAGATCACTTTAATGGAACTGAAATTAAACACATTTCTTATTTTTTTTTTTTCCCCCAAAAAGCTTTTTTTTTCTTGCAAGCATTGAAGACTGATTTTCGTTTTGGAGTAGTCTTTCATCTTTCTGCTCTTGTTCTACACTGGTCATAACTCCATGCACATGTTACACTGGTTTCTGAAATATCAGAAGATGTTTCTAGAATCAGGAAGGAAAAAAAAAAAAAGATTTCTTTTGTTTTTCTTTTGGTTTGTAAGCACAGAAAACACGTGCTGTGTCTTATGATCCTGCAGTCATTAAGGATTCCAAGACACATTTTGCAAGAATGAGATTTTAAACATTGTGTCTGGCTTCTTTCCAGATCAGGTAATTACATTTTTCCTCTCCAAATTCCCCTGCATGTTCAATTGGATACATTACTATCCTCCATTCCCCGACTTAAACTGTTATGCTGTGCATTGTCTGCTCTTTTAAAAAGGTTTTGTGTTGAACGCCTGGGAACCAAACTGGTTTCTCTCTTCTGAGGTTTCATTGATCAACACAATTCACTTCGAGGCATTGAGATGATGCAGCTGTTCGTTGATAAATGATCATTGGCTGACCATTAAAAGACTAGCAATGAATAATTATTAATTAGAATTCATAGTTTGGAGGGATGTTTTAAATTGATAAACTGAGTGTTAGAAATCCAAGCACAACACAGCAGTAAAATTTACATAGGAAAATCAACCAAACCTTCAAGTGCACAAGTCTGTACCACTTGACTGTACCTGGCCCACACTGAGAATTTGGCCCAAATATCCCAAAATAAGAAAGAATCTTTCATTTTTCATTTGGAGTTTCTTTGTGGTCAAGGCCAATTTAAAGCCTGGAGTAACCCGACTGCAGTGATGGAATTACAGCAGAAGGATGGACTTATGCTTATATTGCAAGAATTGATTTTTTTAAAAAGCAGTTCAAGAAGCCATACTTCTGGTGCCAGCTCTTATCTTTCTTCGGGAAAAGCATGCTGCTTTGGGGTGCTGCTGGGCTTGTTTCAATGGCTTGCCAGGCAGCCCAGGGCT